ACATAGAAATTGGTGTGTTCGGATGACCGACCGAATATACTAGTTTTGTGTTTTGTTTTGCAAAAATGGCGGACGGGAGGGAGTGATGTTTTGCTAGGAGAGAGAGAGAGAGAGAGGTTTTTCCCGATGAGTTGACAGTTATGGCAGCTACCATAACCAATCATTGGAGCACACTTTTCAACTCTAGCTGCTAAATTATGGCAATAGCAGCTCCAATGACAAACCATTGGAGATGCTTTTAAAAGTCTAACATAAAAGTGGTAAATCCCATGATTTAGACCAATAATTACACATTTAGAGCACCACCTAAACTTAATCCAGAGCATTGAATAATTTACGTCGTTAAATATTCGCTTGCAACATTTTCTAGATCTCCTCCACAACCAAATCGCTTACTTTATTTTTGATTAGGGAATTTGATGAGAGATTTGAAAAAGGAAAGGGAAAGGGAAAGAGAGATTTGGAAAGGGAAAGGGAAAAGTTAGGTGAAATGTAAATAAAATATACCTACATCTCACCTAATTTTATACACTTTTTACCTTTTTCTTTTTAAATTCTTTTACAAATCTCCCAATTAAACACAGCGTTAAAGGTTTCCTTTTGGTTCGGTGATAATAAACGCATACAGAGCATAATTTTACAATACTCGCATTTAAAGGCTCTGTTGCCACTAACAATATCTGTATTACAGGCTTTGGCATCTTACCCTCATGTATGTGGCTTGAACCAAGTGAGGGGGGTGTGGGTGACTGGCGAACGGAAAAATGAGCCACATGCCATTACTAGAGAAAAAAAGAAAAGAAAAAGCATTAATGGTTCAATTACTTTACTCTTATTTGATTGACATTGGATAAATTTTACAAATTATAGAAAAAAAAACTCTTATTTGATTGACACTGGATAAATTTTACGAATTATATAAAAAAATCATTAAAGTTTTATGCTACTTAGGTCTCGTTTGGAAACATGCTAATTTAGTAATTTTTTGATTATTTGGCTAAAATACGAGCTAAAAAAAATTAGTATGTTTGGAATAATTTTTTGACTTTTTACAGAAAGATATGCAAAAAGTAGAGAGAAAAGAGAATTTTTGACTTTTTAGTATGGATTGTTGGCTTTTTGATTTTTTTAGTGATTTTTTAACTAAAAAAGTTACTTGCCAAACGAGGCCTTAACCCCAAAATAAACCATAACTTTTATGTTCCCATGATGTTGAGAAATTAGGAAAATGAGTGAGAGTACTAATTAGTGCTATCACTAATGATGTGGCAGTGGGCCCAACAATGAATGATCTGATGTTTTGGCAGTGTTGTATTTTTTTTCTTTTTTTATTGAGTGTCATGTCATTAATGATTTTTTTAGAGTTCCAAAATTAGTGATCTCTATTATTGTTGGAGAAATTATTATAGTCCTCTCATATCATAAAAGGGCTAGAGCTCAGATAGCTATTAAAATCGGCTTAGAAGTTGGCCAAGGCCAACCTCTAGGGCCCTAAGCCTTCATACATTGGCCCAAGTCTAATCCTTGAAAAATAACATTGGTCTATGCCCAATTCATGTGTCATTAGGGTTGATAACCCAATTCAATATTTAAAGATGAATATATTCATATATTTAAAAATTTAAGCATATCTAGACTAAAATTTTAAATGACATGTTTCTTATTATAATCCTCATCACTAAAAATAATTTATGCAGGTGTCACTTTCAATTATTGTTAAAGAAAAATGTTTAAACTCTAAAAGGCTTAATGAAGAATGTTTTACATTTAAATTATGTTTCAACCCTGCAACTGACACACCATTTTACTGAAATAAACCGTGCGAGGGTGTTGTAATTTTTTATTTTTTTACATATGTAAGTTGCTATTCAAAACAATAAACTTGTCCCATATCATTTTCTACAGCATATAGGTTGGTTGATGGGCTCTAGAACATCAATTTGGTCTTAGAAAAATGGCTGGACTTGTTCCAGCTAGGGTTGTTCTGGGCCCATATTCATTTATATATTTATCCAGCCCATTCTATTTTGAAACTGAAGAAGATCATGAAAGTATCGCATTGGCCTGGATCCTGGTACACCATCTGACCGTGTAGCCATTCAAATGTGTTAGGGTAGTGTACATCCTCATAAGGGTATTTATGATATTTTTGCACTTGTGATATGTTGTCCTAGTTTTCTATATATGTACAGTTGAGAGGAGGTGGGTATTTTTGTAATCTTTTTTATTTTAAGCGGGAAAGCTCCTATTATTGTCTTAGGAAAAGAGCCAAAAAATAGCTTCCCCCCCTCTATTTCAAACTTAAACTATCAATTTCATTTATTGGGTTCACACAGTTTCTAAATTGCTCCAATTGGAAATAGTTTTCAAATCAATAGATGTTAAAGTCTAATTTGACGGACTCAAAAAAAAAAACAAAAATGATTTTAAAATTTGAACAATTTTAACCATACAACCGAACACTGTACTACTTTGAAATTAGGAGCGAAGAAGAATACAAGTGTTTGGTTTTAAGGTATAAGTTGTCTATTATAGTAGGAGTAAAATAATTAGTATCTAATTGCATGATTAAAATTGTGTAAATTATAAAAATTATTTTTTTGCTCGTTAGGTTAGGATTTGACCATTACTGCTTTGGATGTTCTGTCTCCAATTATATCATATGACATGAAATAAAAACAAACCTCTAGAACTAAATAGATAAAATATGTCTTCAATTGGACCATACGAATTGAAATTAGAAACTTTAAAGCTTAAATAGGTGGAATTAACTATTTAGAAATGAAAAAAAAAAATGACGATATTGTAAGAGATAAAATTAAAAATAACCTCTCTTTTTTTTTCAGTTTCATTAAATGTGAAAATGGGCTTTGTTTTTTTCAAATGGGGTAAGCAGTTGCTCTCAAAGAACATCTTAACACCACTATTATCTCCCTTCTCTTGAAAAAAACACAATATGCCATACTAAAAGTTATAATTTGTAAACATTAATATGTGTCAAATTTGGGTGAGTGACAAGAAAACCAACTTGCTTTCATCATATTATCTACATGAAGGAGTAATTGTTTATATTCATCACTATGCATATATCTGATTGCAGAAGAAATGAGAGGGAAAAAACAAAAAAAAATCATACTTTGCAACGTAAGGGAAAAGGAAAAGCTAATTACAATCATAGAAGAGGGAATTTTGGCAAAATTTCCTCACAACCACATTTTTTTTATGGGATAATGATGGTTCTAAAACTGTGTTTGGATTATAGATTTAGATAGTGATTTAAAAAGAAAATGTAAAAAAAGTAAAGAAAATTTAAATGAAAATAACTTAATTTTGTTTCTCTATTTATGAGTATGACCCTAAATTCCTATTTAAATCTATGATTTAAACACAGCGTAATAGAACAAACTTTGAAAGAATTCCATGCTTCTCTAATTGCAAGTCATTCTTTGTACAAATAAAACTTGAAACATGAATGAAATATATGCTTGATTTTTTTTTTTCCATCCAAATCTATGGTCTAAATAACATAAAGATTGTTAATAAGAAGAGATAATGCTAAAATATTTATAATCTGAATACATAATTCACATATTCCAAAATAATTTAACATATTTTAATATATATATTTTTTAAACATATTTCAATACTAACAATAGCATAGTATAATCCAATCCAATTCATTAACAGGAAGGTGCCAAGAAATTAATATAGTAATTTTTAGCCAAACTCCTATTTGCTGCATGAGGAATCAATTGCAACAATTTCTAAAAAGCATTAAAGGTCTTGAGTGTTAAAGATTTGCTAATAAGATTTAAAATTTTGAGTTTAAGTTATTACAATAGGTACCAGAGGTCTATCCAATTGTTCACTTCATGACCTTAAGATTAATTGAGATGTGTATAAACTAGGCTAAACACCTAGTTATCATAACAACAAAAAAAACATCGAGGTTGTGTTTAATTCATGGATTTGATAAGAGATTTTAAATAAAATGTAATTTAAAATGTGAATAAAATATAATTACATTTCATTTATATTTCATGCGCATTTCCTCATTCTCCTTGAGAAATTATTCAATGCTCCAAGAGCATTACTCCATTCTATTTAGAGATTAACACTTTATCTCTTAAAAGTCTAACACAAAAGTGGTAAATCTCATGATTTGGACCAATAATTACACATTTAGAGCATCACTAGACTTAATTTAGGGCATTCAATAATTTTTCGTGTTGCTTCAAATTTTACTTGAACCGATTCAAATCTAAACCGTTGGATCAACTCAAAGTACATTTCTACTGTTACAAGTAGGAAGGGAAGGAGAGAGTTCAAGAAGAGGATCTCAACTCACTTAATTCAGACCATTCAATAATTTCTGGGCCAAATTTTGCTTGAAGTTTTGCTTGAAGTTTTGCCTCAATTCTGCTCGAATCTTTTCCTCGGCCTCCTTGGAATCGCTTAAAGGGCGATAACAAACACATGTCTCACAGAGAATAATTTCACAATGCTCGCATATAAAGGCTCTGTTACCACTGACAATATCTGTATTACAGACGTCGCATCTAAACCTCATGTATGTGGCTTGAACCAAAGTGAGGGGGTGTGGGTGCCTGGCGAATGTAAATGTGGGCCCCAACTTGGCGTTTGGAAATTCCTTCTCTCGAATGCATTTAGCGCAAGCCGATTTGTCGCAATAAGTACAGTGGTAGAACCACCACTTTGGGTCTATTTGATTCTCGCAAAATTCACACCAATACTCATCTGGACCATTTTCAATAGGAGCATAAGTTAGGATGAAGGGATGTTCATCATACCTGTGATTAAATATACTCGGTAACAAAGCACATGCACAGTGTATGTTGAAACTGCATGTGCTTATGCCACATCCAAATGACAACATTCCACAGCTTTGATCACATGCAGCACAACCTTCATTTTTGTCAATTTCCTTTAGAATGAGGGGGTGCTCATGAGCTGTATGCATGATGGAGCTCGGTAAGGAAGCACACTTAATGTCGAGATGATAACAGTAGCGCGGATCACCTCTGCCCCAATATTCGGGCCGAAACTGAAATCCGATGCAATTTTTTGCTGCACAACCCTCGCAATCGAAATTATTTTCTCGAACTAGGGTGAACTTATCAATTAGCTTGGAACACCATTCATGGACAAAAAAATTACACTGATTGCAATTGTAAAATGAAGCGTTGATGGGTTGCACACACACCACACGTCACATGTTATGTCAATATTCTGCTTATTCAGGATAGACAATTCGCTTCCCGAGAACAGATCAATGTCGTCCAGATTACAAAGGGTTAATGCATGACTATGGAAAAAATGTTCAAGTTTTTCTTCTCTATTGTAGTCATCCAAGTTCATCAGCTTCACAGATTGGGCAATTAGGTTGGCTGATTCATTAGGCAGTAGTGGTAAGTGAATCAAATTGGCCATATCAAGATCCTCAATCTTGATTGCAGTGTTGGTTTCCCTAAATCTACAAAAAGTAACAATAAAACGTCAATCAAATGAAGAAAAAAGCATTAATTGCCAAATCTTTACTTTCTTTATTTTTTCAAAACAAGTCGAAGTTAAGGTTAAGGTGAGAGCTTACTTGGTCTTTGTCCGGCAATTCACATGAACATGATATTTGCATATTTTGCAAGCGTAAAACCAAAAGTTTGTGTTCAACCTTTTCTTGCAAATACAGCAATCCCCAAAATTTATTGAAGAAAGATAACTGAAGGGTTCATCTTTAGAAAACAAAGTGTAGACGAGCTTGAGATCGTGAACATGGCCGTTGTGTTTGATGGTGGTTGGTAAGGAAGCACAATCCACATGGATCCAAAATGTGCACGTGCTACACATATAAGAGATGCCTTCGTGTTTTGTGCCACAAGCGTGACATTCAAAGGAGGCCGAGCTGAGAACGAGACTTAGTGGGTGTTTGTGACTTTTGTGTTCAACAGTTTGTGTTTTCAAAGCACAATATATGTCGAGTTTGAAATTGCACCGGGAACAAAAATAGGCATATGCATCTGAAATTTTGCCGCAGGAATGACAATGACATCTGAAGTGTTGTGGATGGACTAATTTAAGAGTGTGTTGTGGGTGCAATGGATGTGTCATCTCTTTGGGTAGTTCGGCACATAATTTATGCAAATAAAAAGAACAATATGTGCATCCATACGCAGAACCTACGATTTTTTGACAACATCCCTTGCAGAAAATTTCCTCCTCATCATCATCGTTCTCCTCTTTAATGGGTGTCAATCTCAATGTAAATAATGGATGGTGATGGTATTGTGGAAACCTCGACCATGTGGGTGGTTTTAAACAAACTACGTGCAAAAAGAAGGAACAATTTCTGCAACAATATGCAGAACCTAAGATCTTTCGACAACATCTATTGCAGACAATTTCCTCACCATCACCCTTCTTTTTACTGGGGGTCAGTGGATGCGGATGGTTGCAATGTTCAACCTCCATCTATCTCTCTCTCTCTCTCTCTCTCTCTCTCTCTCTCTCTCTAGGTTTGTGCAAGTTCAAAATGGTGGAATTACAAATGGAGCTACAGACCACTAGTCAAAAGCCGAAAGTTAGGTGGCTGGTTATTTTAATCGTCTTCCAATCAATTTTTAATTTTTTGTGGGATTAATTTATTTCTTGACAGCTGGTTGAAAGATACAATACTGTTGAAAAAAGATTAATATATGAATTAGCAATTCAAATCTCTCCTTCATGTTGCTTTGAGTTCCACTACTTCTTGGGGTGGTGAAGTATCATATGGGGTAGGGATCTACTGAAGTCCGGTCTTTATTGGATAATGGGGAATGGGCAATAAATTAGGCCTCTCGAAGATCAATGGATTCCATCTATGCTCAATACCTTGCGAGGAAGGGAAATTACTCGACTTCTCCCGGATATGCGGCTTGGACATTTTATTGATTGGGATCATGGCTGTTGGAGAGAAAATTTGCTACAATTGTTCTTCCCGGTAGCTTGTTCCCGTGCTATTATGTTGATTCACATACCCAATTATCCTTGTGAAGACAAACTAGTCTGGAGTCCAATTAAAAATGGTGTTTATTCTATAAAATCTGAATATAAACATGCCTTGATTCGTATCTATCCTATGTTTTATAGGACTTGTTCTACTCAAGGGGTATGGAAGAAGTTATGGAAAATAGGCTTACCTCCAAAATGGTATGTCTTCATTTGGAAATGTCTTCACCGAATTCTTCCTGTACAATGGGAATTAAAAAAACATGGAGTCCAAGGTAGCACTAGATGCGCCCGATGTCACAATGATGAGAAGACAATTGAACATGTATTTTTTGAATGTGAGTGGGCACAAAGAATATGGAGGGGCTCACCTTTGGGTCTGGATTTTCGAATTGGTGTGCCATTTTCTTTTTTTCAATGGTTTATTGGTTGGATTGAACAAGTTCATGGCACTCAAATAGTTATCCAATCGGTTGCCATTTTATGGGCAATTTGGCTACAAAGAAATCAGGTGGTTTTCCAGCACATTGTCCCGAATGTTGACGACACCTTAGAGGAAGCCAGGAAACTGTTTGATATGTCCTTATGTCTTAATAAAACAGATAATGGAACTTGCTCTACTTCTAAAAATAATCAAGGCACTAATACATCTAACTTTTGTATTTTCCAGAATGTTATAGACACCGGTAGTGCTTTTGATTCTTGGCATTTTGTCATAGATGGCTCATGGAAATCACCAATCGATCACGCTGGAATTGCGTGGATTTGCTTGGACAACAAGCATCAGTTGATTAAAATGCAGGCTGTGGTGAAACCATCCTTATCACATGCCTTACTAGCCAAAGCGCGTGTGTGTTTGGATGCCATCCGATGGGTTGTACAACAAGATTTGAAACATATAAATGTGTACACAGATTGTCAGGTATTGGTTTAGATGTTTCAACAGCACCGATGTTAGGAGGATTGGCATGTTATTACTCTTGTTCATGATATTCTAGCTTATGCAAAATGTTTGAATTATGTATGTATTTGTAAAGTTGACAGAAATGTTATTTAGCTAGCACATAATCTGGCCAAAAATGTAATTTCTAATACTTAAGGTATAATATATGGATGGTTGTTTCATTCTCAAAAAAAAATAATTCATGTTAGGTACAAGATTCTAAGTTTAAACAAAGTTTTAATGGTGAGAATAACGAGGAATTTAATCATACTTTATTATCAATGGTTCTACACGTACCAATTAATGTATTAATTAGTATATCAACACATGTTATAGGAAATGGGGTCACTGCTGTGCTAAAGGCACAACAGTGATTGTTGTGCCTCAATTTTGAGATGTATTATGGGTTTATTTTTATGATTTGAATCGTTCATTTTGTAGGGTTTGTTGAGTATTTCATGCCTACCAAAAATTATATTAATCTGATATCAATAACTATATGATCGAACTACATATTTTTTATGCTATTTCTCAAAAGAAAAACTTATTGTTTATTTGTTTGGTTATCAATCATATAATTATTGATATCTGATTAATATGATTTTTGGTAGGCATGAAATACTCAACAAACCCTACAAAATGACGGTTCGAATCATAAACATAAATTCATAATACACCTCAAATTGAGGCACAATAGTCACTGTTGTGCCTTTAACACAGTAGTGACCCCAAGTCCCATGTTATAACACATTGTATGACATTGTTCCACACTAACAATTATTTAGCACCCCTCATGTAGTAAGATAAAATAGGATCATAAAAAACTACCGACCTCACTATAAAAAAAATGACAATTACAATAATATATATATATATATATAATTTATCCATACATTACGTAATAAGAAGGGTAAAAATGGGGGTTTAATCATTAAGCTTGATTTGGAAAAAGCCTATGATAGAATTTCTTGGAACTTTATCAGAGAAACCTTGACTGAATTCAATCTTAATACCCATTGGGTGGATCTCATCATGAGTTATGTTTCTTATGTGAATTTCTCTATTTTGTGGAATGGTGAAACTATGCATGATTTTTCTACTGGAAGAGGTCTCAGACAATGCGATCCTCTTTCACCTTATTTGTTTGTTTTATGTATGGAAATGCTCTCAAATATGATTAAAGTTAAAGTTGAGAACAAAGAATGGAAAGGAATTAAAGCTTCTAGGAACAGCCCATGTGTCTCTCATCTTTTCTTTAAAGCTGATCAAGAGAATTGTGAGACTCTTATGGAAACCATGGAAGAATTTTGTGCTATCTCAGGCCAGAAAATTAATCTCCTTAAATCCAAAATGTTCATTTCTCCTAATGTGGACAGGAATCAAGCCTTTAGCCTTAGTCTATTTTGTGGTATTTCTTTGACTCAAGACGTAGGGAAATATCTTGGAGTGCCCCTTCTCCACAATCGGGTTAGTAGAAACCTCTATAATAATGTTGTGGACAGGGTTCAGAAAAAATTATCTGCTTGGAAAGCCAGAACTTTATCACTTGCTGGGCGAGCTACTATAATCCAGTTAGTTTCTTCATCTATCCCCTTTTACCTTATACAGACTTCCAAATTACCTCAAGGCGTGTGCAAGAGCATTGACAAGATACATAGAAGCTTCTTGTGGGGTGAACAAAATAACAAGAGATCTATTCATTTGGTGAATTGGGATCAGGTATGCCGAAGCAAAAGAGAAGGTAGATTGGGGTTAAAGAAAGCTGCTAATCAAAACTTGGCCCTCTTGACCAAGTTGGGTTAGAAGATCAATTGTGATAAAAATCTAATCTGGTGCAAAATTCTTAGAGGGAAGTATTTGAATCGAAACACTTTCTCTGGTTGGCCCACTCACAGAAAAGCCTCTCAAACTTGGAAAAGCATTATGAAAACTAGAGATTTCTCAATAAAGGCCTGAAGTAGACAGTTGGTGATGGGAAGCACATCTCCTTTTGGAATAATTGGTGGTGTGGTGAATGCACCCTTGTTACTAGATTTCCAGGACCTCACACTAAAGAAAAGGTGTCAGTGGAAGACATGATAGATGAGGAGGGTAGGTGGAATCTGAAAAGTGTAGAAAACATTATCTCCCAACAAGCTTTACAACAAAATCCTCCGAACCCATCTTCCCCAGCATGTGTTACTTTCAGATATTTTAGTTATTAAACTAAATGAAAAATTGCATTTCTAACATTTTATGTATACTTATATTGAGTTTAATTACAAAAATGAACAAATGGTTTAAATTAAAAACAAATCAAAATTTTCAAATTTAAATTGAAAAGATTAATAACTCAGGGTTTAGTTTGTTAAAAGAGTCAAACCTTAAAGGTTTTTTTTTATCTTTTTTTTTTTTTTGTAATTTCCCCTTTTACAAATGGGCAAATTACATTAGTGATCTATATTTTACCTCTTGTGTCATTTTGGTTCCTACACTTTCAACTGACTTAATTTTGATTTTAATTTTTCAATTTGTTTGGTATAACCTATAAATGTCAAAAAGTCAAAAATCAAAAAGTTACTAAAAAAGTTAAAAAGTTTATACTGTTTGGGGGAAGCTTGTGAGGGAAGCCTAGATGGCAAAATTGAATTCAACTACCCAAAAGTCAAAAAGTCAACAAGGGTAAAATGATCATTTTGATTTTACTACAATATTTTATTACACATCTTTTCGTAAAAAGTCAAAAAGTTATCCTAAATATACATATTTTTTTTTCTCTATTTTTTAGTCAAAAAGTCAAAAAATGTACTTATATATTTTAAAGAAAATTATTACTAAATTAGTTGAAGTTAACTAACTGAGTTAAATAAGTTTATAATTTTACTCTTAAAAATATGATATATGACACTTATGTGTGCATTTTTTTTATTAAAATTATAAAAGATGTTAAGAGTTGCAATTAATTAAAATAAATTGAAATAAAATTATAAATTTAATTAGAGTCAAAAGCAAACTAATTAAAAATGTAAAAACTAAAATGACGTAACGAATAAATTACATGAATTAGCATCATAATTTGCCCTTTACAACTTATAGGGGAAAATAATCATTCAAGTTTTATGCCAAAACAAACCATAACATTTATGTTCCCATGATGTTGTGAAATTATAGTCCTCATATCATAAAGTGGCTAGAGCTAAGCTAGCTTTCCGAATCGGCTTAGAAGTTGGGCGAGACCCACCGGCTCTAATCCTCAAAAAATTACATTGGTCCCAATTTACGTGTCATTAGGGTTTCAATATATTTCATTCATATATTTAAAATTTGAGACATTTATACACTAGTCTTAATTTATGAACTTGTACTTAATTAAGGTTTTTTGGACCTTCAAGTTCCATTAAATTTTTAGTAGTCGGAATTGTCTTCCAAACAATAATTGTTCATCATTTATGATTATCTATAAAGGAACATGATAATTTGACATTTATTTTGATTTTTAAAATGTCAACTTTCAAATTGAAAAAAAAATTTAAAAAAAAATTATGCGTAAAAAAAATTAAGTTTTTTTTTTAAAAAAAATTGAATTATTTTTTTT